AGTGTATAGAATATGATCTTTTTTTAATATATTATATGTAACCAAACAACATGTGTTTATTTTAATATGTATAGTTTTACAGAAAAACTCTGAAATGTATTTGCCAAATGCTCATCTCTAGGAGTGGGATTCTGGGTGATTGTAATTTTTCCTTTTTGCTTATTTACATTTTTCAAAACTACAACAAATGTGATTTACTTGTATCAAGAATAAAATTAGCAAAGACATTTCTGAGCCAGAATCAGTAGACTTGGTTAACCCCTTGGATGTGAGAAAAGAGAGAAAAGTAATCGTCAGAAATGACTCAGGGGTCATGTTACTGGGTGGACGGACACCATGAATGCAGGGAGACTACAGAGTGGTCACAGTGAGGGCTGAAGGTGAAGGTGAGGAGTTAAGGTGTGGACACCCTGAGTTGGAGGTGGAAATGTCTGATAGGAAGTGGGGAATGTGGTTCTGGAGCATAATTGTGTCACACACTGCTGAGAGGTAAATGCAGTGAAGAGGTCCTTGCCTTTCTGGTTAAGGAGGTTGTTTGAGAGTTAGGGGGATGGAGAAGATGGTCCGAGCGCAGTAGGTTAAAGAAAGAATAGGAGATGAGGAAGGATAAGCAGCAAGCGTAGAGACCCTTTCTTGATGTTTGGGGAAGAAGAAAATGAGTGTTCGGTGATACACAGCTACAAATCTTCACCATAAAGTTTTAAAAAGTAGAGGGGACAGAATTAATAAATAAAAGCACCCAGCAAGGCGTGGGTGCAAGAAAAGAAATATGCCTAGCTTGGACCTTGGCGAGTAAGCGCAGTTTGACAGGTATAAAATTCTAGATGGTCAGTTTTTCTCTCGGTGCTTCGAAGGTTTTACTCTACTGTTTTCCACTAGTTCCAGCATGAAGTGAGTGGCTAGTCTAGGTAATGTCTTTTCTTCTGGTCTTTTTACAATTTTGTCTTCAATTTTTCTTTTTCTTTGCCTTTTTGGGGTTCATTAGTTTTCTGAAATGTGAGGATCCACAACTCTCAACAGTTCTGGAAAACTCAGAGATATCCTCACTCCAAATAGACCTGTCTTCCATTTTCTCTTTTCTGTCCTTCTGTAATGCGAATCAGACATACGTGAGCCCCTCTAACTAGCAACGATTTCTTTTCATCTCTCTTCCATATTTTTAACTTTTTTGTCTTTTTATGCTGAATCTGGATCTAATTTCTTTATCTTTCAGTTTATCCTTTCTGACTTTTCATTTAGTTATTATTTTTATCCAGCTCACATGCACATAAAGAGCCAAATAGTTATACAAGGCTTATGACAAAAAAAAATGTAGTTCCCTGGCAATTGTTCCTTATTTTCTGATCCCCAGGAACTTTTAGCCCTTAACCAAATCTTTTAATATTTGCCTCCATAAATCTAAATAACGTGCTTGTGTTGCTACTTCTTGGCTTTTCAGTTTGGGCATGATCTCTTATATTTGTGCCATGAAAGATGTGGATTTAGCTCTCTTCCCTCTTGCTACTCACACGTAACCCCCCTCCCAACACACACATGTCCTGTTCCCAGACATCAGATGTACTTGGTTGGATCAGTAGTATTTATTTTTTATGACTATGAAAACACTATTCACTGCTGAGCCTTGATTAATTTTCTTCCTGCACTTCTTTACCTTTCCCCTTGAGTCACTACTCAGTTTTCTAATGCACCTAACACTAACTTAACCCTTGACTCTCCTCCGCTTGTGTAACTGTTCTCTCAACGTGCTCCAACACACTAGGTACTCAGTGAGTTGGTCTGGAGGAAGCCTTTCCTGCAGCCGTCACTGCCCTGCCCTTGAGTGGTTGGTTTCCAGGCCTGCTGCACGGTTCTCTTGGACCCTCCCTCCAGCATCAGGCCCAGGGTTTCCTTTGCTTCTTCCTCAGGTTTGAGCCCCTGGCTCCTGGATTCCATGATCTTCCTCATTTGATTCACTGCATCATTTTGGTGCAGCACGTCCTCCAGTAGCTTCCCGAGCAAGAGTGATGGGAGGGAATGTTTTCAGACCGTATGTGTCTAAAGATGTCGTAGTCTGTCCTCTCACTGACATGATCATTTTGGATGGACAATGGGATTTCCACCTTCAACTAGTGGAATTTTCCTTTAAAAATTTGAAGGCTTTGCTGCATTTTCTTCTAGATTCCAGTATTGCTATGAACTTTTTTCTTGCCCTTGGTATGAAACCTATTTTATTCTTTCTAGAACCTTGTGGGAGCTTCTCTTTGCGCCCCGTGCTCTGAAATTTGGTGAGAGGTGTCTTGTTCTGGCCATTTGGCAGTCCCTTTCACTCTGGGAACCCATGCCCCTTAGCGCTGGGAAATGTTCTTGACTTACTTTCTCCCCTTCATTCTTAAAATTCTGTCTTTCTGGAACGCTTATTTTTTACATAAGTGTTGGACCCTCTGATGCTCCTCTACATTCGTCTTTCTCTATTGTTTTCTACTTTTTTGTATGTGTGTTCTGTTTTCTTATCTTCTGTTAAGTTTTTCATCCCTGTGATTACTTTTTTATTTTACATAATGTATTTTTTGTACTCTGAGTGTTTTTTAGCATCGTGTTCTTGTTTCCTGGATACAATAACTTTTCTTAATCTTTCCAAGGCTATTGATACCCCCTTGTCCCCCGCCCCCTTTTCTTTTCCCTTCAGAGTCTGTTTCTTTAGGCCTCTGTCTTTCATATTGGATGAGTCCCTAAAATGTCTGCAGATCTTTGCCTGCCACTCTGCTCATGGTTAAGAACAAGGCAGAAGGGAGGGGGCTCTTGGTACGTTGGTGGGAGCTTGCTCCCTGTGGCTCCACCGTAGGGTGGTCTTACCAAGCCACTTATCGGGGAATCTCAATGTCAGACTCTCTGTATTTTCTCTTGGGCTAGTGGGTCCTCAGAGAAGGCCTTTCCAATCTCCTGCTAGAATTCTAAGGGCTGAGTAGAAAAACCTGGGGGTCTCAGATTCACCTTTCCCCCCTTTTGTTCTTTAGAATACCCCAGTCCTCAATTGTTTTACCCCAGAGAGTAATTTCAGTCTCTTGCCATGGTGGCGGAGGAGCAGTCAGGTACTGGAAGGGAAGGAGCCTGGGGACCCCCTACCTCCTAAATAGAATTTCAGCCACCTTCACCCCACTTCAGAGCAGCCTGGTACCTACCACCCATTCGTGCCTTCAGAGCTGCTTCTCCACTTTCTCTTGCTAGCTCAGGTTTCAGTGTTCTTGAATCTGCTGTCCATTAACTCTCTCCCCTCTGTTTTCCAGCCTCCGAATCTTCTGTAATTGTCTCCGCTCCCTTCTGTCCATCCTAGTGGTCAGGAAAAACTCTCACATTTTCCCCTTGTTCTCTGCCTGTGTCTCAGACAGTGCTGTGTCTCCACGCTCTCCTTCTGTGAAGTAGATTTGTGGGGAGGTGGCCTTTCAAGGATTCACACTTTATATGGGTTTTTTTTGATCCAACCCCCACCTTCTGTAGCTCAGACTTTGTCTCCTGTCTCCTGCAGGAGCGGCCCATTTGATCCCTAGGACCTGCAGAGGGCCCAGGACAACACTTGGCAGCTACAGAACTCACCTGTCTGGCTTCACAGTTCCTTATCTTTTCACATCTGACAATCTCCTTTACTCTCCTCTTGGTTTGACATGCATTTTGACACATTATTTAAAAATATTAAAATAATAAATGTTAAAAAAATAATAATAATGTTAAAAGAATTGTGTTCAGGAACTCTGTAACAGGAAGGTTTCTGCAAACATCTAGTCCCCCATATAGCCAGACGCAGAGGCCCCCCTGCATTCGTTCAGCACTCTGCCAGAGGCACCTGCTATGTGGGAAGCACGCCAGGCCTTCCCTCAGCAACCCTGCGAGCCCGGGAGGTCAGGTGCCAGGGCTTCCTGCCTCCAGACGCTGACTGATAACCTGGATCAGATAACATGGGGAGCCAGTAGCAGAGCTGATGTTAGACCTGCATTTGAAGCTCTTTTCCATGAATCATGCTCTCGGAAGAGAACGCTGTGGGTCTTCTCTAGTCACAAGCTGAGGCCGTGGAGTGGCTGATGAGCCTCCCAAAGGCTCTCGAGGGCGCAGGTTACAAGCAGGATATTTTACATGAATTTTTACAGGAGTTGAGGAAAGTGTCTTGCCCCCGCCCATACTGAAAAGGTGTAAACCTCAGGCCTATTAGGGCCTCTGTCGCACAGCACAAGAGCAGGCTCCTACGAGAGCACGTAAAGCGGTTCACGGTCGTAAACGCTGAGAGGTCTTCAAGGGAAACGCAGCAGAGAAGGTGCTCGGCACTGCCCTTGAACTGCCGGGCACTGCCCGTCTGACTCCAGGATCCCAGGCGCAGGTGCTGGAACAGGGTCTACTCAGCACGCTGTCCTGTGGACTCTGCTCGTGGACGACATGTATTATCACAGTGTGACAGCAGTCGTGTCACACCCGTGTTTCTGACCCAGTCATGCCTCCTTTCTCCACCACTGACATGGAATGAAAGTGACACAAAGCCTGGGCCAGGGTCCGCCTCTAGGTCCCTTGGTTTTCCTCGTAGGCGGGGCCTGGCCGAGAGGCGAGCTCACTTTCAGCCGGGTTGGGATGGTCGGTGGGATTCAGCCGGGTTGGGATGGTCGGTGGGATTCAGCCGGGTTGGGATGGTTGGTGGGAAAGTGGCTCTCTGCTCACCAGCTTACGGTGTTCCTGGGAGAAGGGCGGCGGGCATTAGGGGCAGGAGACAGTGGACGCCAGCGGACACTGTCCAGGAAATTGTTTACTCTGCACATGCCTATTTTATGAAACCAATGATTTTTAACGAGTCTCTCTCTCCTGTGTTGGTCACTGGAAAGCATCATCCCAGTGGATCTAATTTTCACATAAAGAGGAGAATCGCGTAACTAAAAGTTGTGCTGACTTGGCGTGTGACCAGCTCTCTCCCTGTAGGTGTGTGCACGCTTGTTTTTAACTACTCGCAGCGGTGCCTTTGACACACTGTGTTGTTTTATTCACAGGTACTGTGATTGCTTTGCAAGCGGGGACTTTTGCAACAACTGCAATTGTAATAATTGTTGCAACAATTTACATCATGAAATGGAGCGGTTTGAGGCCATTAAGGTAACAAATTTCCATTAAATACGCACATTCTGAAAGCATTTAAAAGTGCATGGGATATTCACAAAACGACCTCCTCAGATTTCTAATTTCAGTATTGGGAAAACCCGAAGTGTTGAAGAGTATACATTAAATAGGACTCTATGCCTGAAGGTGGCGGTATTGACCATGACCAGGGGCTGTTGTGAGAGTGGCAGCTGGAGAAAGACCTTTATTCTCCACCAGCATGGGAGGGCTTCATGGGGGCAGCAGGGTCCCAGAAGGGTCTGGTTTAAGAGCATGGAAGTATCCACATTGTCTTTTTTTTTTTTTTAACCACTTTATTGAAATACAGTTGACCTGTAAAAAGCTGTACATTTAATGTATACAACTCAGTGAGTTCGGGGTTAAGTATACACACATGAAATCACAACCATGAAGGCCATAAACATATCCACCACCTCCCAAAGCTGCCTCCTAACCTTAGCAGAAAGTCAGCCCTCTGCTTGGAACAAAGTGGGTACCCAAGAACAAATTTAAGTGTGTTCAGTAAAGATAAAAGGCTGCTCAAGTCACTGGAAGCAGCAACTGAAAAGGACAACTCAGGTTGTCACACAGTGATCAGATACAATGTCTAACAGTTACAATGAATAGAAAAACTCACTTAAATGCAGTTCGGTAGACAGTCTTTTGGGGAGGGGATAAAGTCTTCCATACAGAAAAGCCTGTGAGTACATTTGATCCATTTCCTTGGAAACTGGCAATACCTTCTACTTCCATTGGCATCAGGGACTCTGCCTTATTTTGGCTAGATCTTTCCCAATTCTGTCTTCAAAAGAGTTAGTTACTAAAAGATACCTAACCATCACTTTTTTCAGGTGACTGAAGGAAGTGGGAACATTAGTGTTCATAACAAAATAGTCATTGCACTTCCACATTTTTAGAGGGCACCCCTTCCCAGAATAGCTACTCAGCGGTGTGAGAAGGGCTCTTTTTCATCCAGCTTTGGCCAAGAGATATTACCTGCGGGAGCCACAAAATACTCCTTCACACCTCGGTGGGAGTTTTGTAGTTCTTCAGCACAGTTGCCTTCTACCACATTGTCGGATCTCAGGTACAGACATCTGTCCTCCAGGACTGACTCTTTAGGCTCCACCCGGTCCGTGTCCACGGCGCGGAGCCGGTCGGCGAAGGCGATGGCTCTCTCCAGCCGTGCCACGGCCTCTTGGCTGCCGAAGTCCACAAGCGCTCGCCGCTCCAGGTGCTCGATCAACTCGGCCGTGACCCGGCGGCTTCCCTGAGGATCGGCCTTGGAGGTGAAGCCCCGGCACCCGCCCGCCAACGCCCGAAGGCCCAGACACACGGCCCGCGTCCACATTTCTCTCCTTCTCGGCCTCCGTAGAGCGTCCTCCTCCACGTTGTCTTGATTTGAGGTTTAGAAATTTGGATTGTGTTATGCAGCAGATAAGCCTGAGTTCAAAGAGTGTAGTCTGAAAAGGCGGAGATGGTCCACTGTGTGAAGAAAGTTGGGTGAAAGCTCTCGGCCATCGTTACTTAGACTGATTTTTATTCTCCTTGGCTTCCCGGTGAAGGGAGAATCTAGGGGCAGACAGCACCTTGGAGAGCCCCGCAGGCCACCTGCTAAAGGCTAAATGCATTAGGGGCAGTTTTCATCCCTTCCCGTGGGCACAAAAGATTACCAGAGAAGGGAGCACAGCCCACCTGCTCGGGCCACGTCTTGGTGCCCTCTCACCTACCCAGGGAAACTGAGGGCCATCCCCTGTGGACTTGAGGCTCTCCTACTGTGCCATGGTTGGTCTGTTTATTTTTTCTAAAATACTTTAACTTGCCTCTTGAATTATAGATAAATCAGTTGAAAATATCAATTTTGATACAGGCAGATCCACAGTTTCAATTGCATCTAAGCTTCAGTATAGTAGCCTTTTCTTCAGGGGTAAAGGATACTGTCTGCAATTAAAAGTATAAAAAGTTCTATCTGAAAAGTGTTGGGGGACTTCCCTGGTGGCTCAGTGGTTAAGAATCCACCTGCTAGTGCAGGGAACACGGGTTCGAGCCCTGGTCCGGGAAGATCCCACATGCCACGGAACAACTCAGCCCACGCACCACAACTACTGAGCCTGCGCTCTAGAGCCCACAAGCCACAGCTACTGAAGCCCATGTGCCTAGAGCCTGTGCTCTGCAACAAGGGAAAGCCCATGCACAACAATGAAGACCCAATGCAGCCAAAAATAAATAAATAAATTTATTTAAAAAAAAAGTGTTGGAATTCTCATGCGTTGCTGGTAGGGATGTAAATTGGCACCAGCACTTTGGAAAATTGTTTGGCAATAGTTACTAAAGCTAAACCTTTGTATGTGCTGTGATCCAGCAGTTCATTCCTAAAGACAGAGCCCCTAGATATGAGTGTACACGTCTACCAGAGGCTTGTACAAAAATGTTCACAGCAGTTTTATTCATAATAGCCCCAAACTGGAAACAATCCGTGTGTTCAGTGGTAGAATGGATAGATCTGTCGGGGTGTATCATCTAACGGGTGACACACATCAATGAAAAACAAAGACCCACAGCTCTGTGCCACAGCCCAGAGAATCTCACACGGTGCTGATGAAAGAAGCCAGATGGAAAAGAATACACACCAAATGGTTCCACTTAGATGTAGTTCCAGAACAGGCAAAATTAAAGCAATCCCAGTCAGAATAGAGGTTCCCTCAGGGGTGTGTTAATGGGGAGGAGTCATGAGGGACCTCGGCATGGGTGGGCTGGACTGTCCTCTGACCTGGTCTGGGTGGGGGTCGCACGGGGCTCACACATGCTCAGATTCATCACGGTCCACCATCCCTCGTGCTGCAGTAAAAAGTAAAAGCACACAAACACAGCAGCCTCACTGCAAAGGCCCTTCTGCAGCGACGGGGACCTCCAGGGCTCTGGTGCCGACCGGATACCCACTGCTCACCTGTGAGGGGAGAGGGAGGACGGGGGCTGCCGCTGTGCCTTCCACGTTGCTCCAGCACAGCTTTATAAAGAGCACGGCCTCACCTTGTCATTGAAAATAGTCTAGATAGGTAGCAGACAGGTAGAAGAGTCAAACAAACAAAGCACGATAAAAAGCCGAGCGTGATGTATGAGAAAGGCACCTGGTGGTTGAGAACCGGGGCTGGATGTGAGCACAGGGACCGGAACCGGATTCCATCACTTGGTCGCTGTCATCTGACCTCTCAGTGCCTCAGTTTCTTCATCCGGCAGACAGCAAGAACAGCGGTAGTGTTCCTCCACAAGGTTGCTGTGAGGATTAAATGAGAGAACGCGTATAAATCACACAGAAAGTGGAACACAGTGCACATTTAGCAAACGTGAGCTGGTATCAGAGTACCGTGATCCCAACTATCTCAGGAAAAGAAGTACAAGAGATGCAGGAAGGAAATATGTCCACATGGACACAATGATTTTCATCACATCTTTACTGTCCATAAATTTTCTACCTTTAAGTGTTCAAATGAATTAAAATGAAATGGGGGGGTGACGCACTTCCTCAACGATGTGAGATGAGGCACACTGCTCGTCGGGCAAGCCAGGTACTTTGCACTGAACATTATTTCTAAGTAATAAAATATATCTTGATGGAGTTTTGCATTTTCTGTCTTAGGCATGTCTTGATAGAAACCCGGAAGCTTTCCAACAAAAAATTGGGAAAGGACAATTGGGAGACGTTAAGCCTCGACACAACAAAGGATGTAATTGCAAGAGGTCAGGCTGCCTTAAGAATTACTGTGAATGCTTTGAGGTCAGTCAGCAATTCCTAAGTATTATTTTTAAAAACCAGCTAAATATATGGCCTAAGTAACTTTGTGGTTAAAAAAATCTTCAGTTTAAAGGGAGAAATATAATTTAATTTCTTCCTTCCAGGGCTTCTAAAAGGGCACCCATCAATCTACCTTAATTTCTCAAATGTGAATTACTCCTTATGAATCAAGTAAATGAGCTCAGGCCTCCTTTGGGAGCATGTTGTCTCCCCCGAGCCCGCCCTGAGTGTCCAGCAGAGGGTGCCCAGTGCCAGGGCCTTGCCCGCCCTGCAGCTGCTCATCAGGGGCTGGAGCTACCCTCAGTGGCCAGCATCTGGTGGCTCCCAGAGGTGGGCCTTTTCCTTGCTGAGCAGGGCGGAGACGCTCTGGGTGGGGTAGTCGGGGCAGCCTTGTCCTCAGGTGAGTATTCACCTGGGTGCTCTGAGCAGGCAGCTCCCAAGCAGCTCGTCTGGCTGCCGAGACACAGTGTGTCAGCCCAGTTTCCTCTGCTGGGCAGTGGCCCATGCAAAGTGCTGATGTCCTGTAGTGTCTGGCATTACAACAGACTAGCAATCTCGAAAAACCTCCTATTCAAAACACCCAGAGGTGCAGAACAAAACACACCCCATTAGATGCATGTCTGAGCTGGAAAGGACAGAGGGAGACCCCCAGGGGCTGAGACTAAGAGGAAACTGGAAACCAGAGTATCACAGGGCCAGCCTTCTGACTGCCCCCAGGCCGGGCCTGAGCAAGGGGTTGGTCCCCATCCCTGAGTGTCACGCAACTGTGTGACAAGAAACAAAGTCCACCCACAAGGAAGCAGGAAGGGCCTCCCCCTAGAATGCCCACCGCAGGCCCGGCCTCGGGTGGGTTTCATGTTCTACCCACTCGCACGTTCTCTGCAACAGCAGAGCCAGCACGACACCCTCGGTGCTGAAGGAGAAGGGTGGTCGGGCTGGAGTGCTATAACCGGCTGAGGCAGGCTTCGATTAGAGCAAGGGTCAGATGGAGCCTTCGCTGTGCTCCGCTGGACGAGGGAGAGACCCCACTCTCTGCTCGGGGCTCACACCCACACCCGCCCACCGGCCCTCGGGGGCCCCTCCCCACCTCTCTTCACATCACAGTCACCTGCCCCTCTTCACTTCTGCCTTTCTTTGGTATGAAAATTGCAGATGACATACGTGCGTGCACACACAGGTATAAACAGTTATTTAAGATCCAAAT